TAGAACTCCATTCAAATGATGGAAATACTCTAAAATCTTATAAACAAATTGAGAAAGTGAAAAAAAAAATCACAACGTTTAAACAACAAAACATGATAGCACTTTTAATGTCTTCATTCTTATGTTAAAAATGCATTTTTTCCACTTTTAATTAGCCCTGAATTATTAAAAAAAATCAAAGTAAACAAAATAAACGTTATGTAGATTTTAATTTTGCCAGCTTTTATGGATTCCAACATTTTAAAATTACAATTTTGTCACATCTCGCCTAAATGTTCAAAACAAAAGTCAAACACAGCGAAGTGGAAGAATTGCAACAACTTTAATGATTTAAAACGTTTGAGAATGTAAAACAAGAAACCTGTTCATCTGTGCAGCATTAAAAAAAAAAAAAACAGTTAGGAATTTAAAGAGCAAAGCTGAAAACTTGTTGGACTGAATGTGTCATGGCTGTCTGAGGTTTGAGCTGGGAACTGGAGAACTGATACATGAAGACCCTGACATGGAGGGTGAACACATAACGCTCCACTGGCGAGGGAACCGAGGCCCAAAGGCTGATGGGTGAAGTGGAGACAACAGGGAGCAGGTCTGGGTGGGCGTGGCCGGAGGAGCTGAGGGTATCCATGAAAAACAGAGAAAATGATGTGAAACAGAGCGGCAAGGAACCAAACTAAACACTACCATGAAAAACTGAACATCGTGACACCAAAACTCAAAACAGAAAACTAAAACCTGAAAAACGACGATCATGACAGAATGATGAAATTAAATGCTGATAAATGGAAACGTAAACATTTTTCTCATGAACTCGTGTTTATTTACTCAGTGAAATGATTCATGTGTCGTTGTGTAAAAGTGACTGCAAAGATTTGTGGGACAGAAGAGTCTCCTTCCTCTTACTCTACACACTTCTGTTCCTTAGGTTTTTGTTTGTTTGTTTGTTTGTTTGTTTGTTTCGGCTGCTCCCTTCATCAGGGGTCACCACAGAAAACTAAGTCGCACGAAGACTTGGCTATTATTTTTTACGCTGGATGCCCTTCCTGACTCAACCACGGACACGGAGCTACCACAGCCCTCTGTGTGGAGCAGAGAGCTGCCATCTAGGGTGCCCGGGGGAGCACATGGTGGGGGTTAAGAGCCTTGCTCAAGGGCCCAGAGGGGGGCAAATGCGGGTGGAAGCAGATACAGGTGCTTCACCTTTCCCACCCACATTTTGATGTTGTTGGTACTGGGGGTTGAACCGGCAACCTTCCGATCACAGGCCCACCTTCTCTAACCTCTGCACCACCTCTCCCCAAATCTGAAGCAAATTCAAATCAAACAGGATTTTCACAGATGGACAATTTATTGATAAACTGATGTGAAAGTTTGCTTCTCTAAAATTGTGTTAATTATTAATTTGAGCATCTGGAACAAATTTAATAATAAATAATAAATACTTTGGTAAAGAAAAAATAAAAACCCAGAATTTGTTTGTGAAATGTACTAAAGTAGAAGTACCAGTATATTGTGTTTAACTGTACTTGAGCGAAGCGTTTTACAAAACTATCGCTTTATTTTAATGTGAGTGATATTTCTCATAAAGCTGTTAATAAAATATGCATCTAAAGATTAATCTTAACACTATTTTACTTCTACAAGCAGCCGAAATGTTACGATTTGATTTATTTTTATCTCATGAAGTGCCTGAAAAGCTTTTTGGTGAGCCACATTTGTCTTTAGCTGAGTGAAGCATCCACTCATTATCTTTTACCCGCTTCTTCCATTTTGGGTCATGGGGGTCGCAGGTGCCCATGTCCAGCAATCACTGTGCGAGGGGCAGGGGACACCCTGGACAGGTCGCAAGTCCATCACAGGGACAAATAAATGAGATGAACAACCATTCAGTCTCTCACTCACATCTAGAGACAATTTAGAGTTACCAATCAGCCTAACATGCATGTTTTTGGTCTGTGGGAGGAAACTGGAGCACCCGGAGAAAACCCACGCATGCACGGAGAGAACATGCAAACTCCACCCAGAAAGGCCCCGGGACCAGGATTTGAACCAGGGACCTGCTCGCTGAGAGGCAGCAGCTCTACCAGTTGCGCCACCGTGCTGCCTGAGTGAAACACAAGAATTATAAATAATAGAGTTCAGAAGAAAAATCTAAATAAAGTACGTGTCAGGGGAGTTCAGGTAAAGGTTTATGGATGTTTATCACCGCTGATGTTAAATTAACGTTGAACCACGTGCGTGAGGTCAGAGAGGAACCTACACGCGCCGGACGCCTCCGAGTCGAAGAGGTCGAGGTCATCGTGCTGATAAGCGACGTATAAAAACACTTCCTGTGCACTGTCTGGGGCAGATCTTCACGACCGGAGCTTCGGTGAAACATCTGTGTCAGCCCGTGTGAACTCCGCCCTTGTGTGTGAACGGAGTTTAAAAAAAATCTCCTGTCTTCGTGCGACTCTTTTCTAGTAAGTGGAGAATGAAAGGACATTTTTATCCAACTGAGGCACTCGGACAAATGAAAACAGAGACGTGGTGTGAAGGGAGAGACAAGTGCGTCTGTGTGATCCCGCGACAGAACGTGATGGATCGACACTCGTCTCGTTTTGTCCGCCGTGTCTTTGTCCACTGTTCCACTTACAAACCTCTCTGTGGACGTTTGCAAAGAAAAACATAAACTGGTGTTTGTGACGGCGGCTCAGCTGAGAGGACGTCTGCTGGAAGAGACAAACGTCTCGCTGTCCATGTCCTCTGCTGCTGTTTGACTCCTGAACTGTTCAGCATCTAAAGCTGAATTTCACCCATGAAGCAGCTGAAGTTTGTCTTCATGTCTCAGATTGTGAACTTTCTTTAAATCTTCAGGTCATTAAATTATCGTTCTAACGAGGGGACAGCTTTCCTTTGATCTTTTTACATGGTCTTGATTGGCAGTTCTTTGCGATTTATAAAAGTCTTTTAGTTTATCTTATTACTTCGGCTGCTGTTTGTGCACATTTCCAGTGTTTGTGACCATTTTGGCTTGGTCGTTTAGTTCAGCCACTTGAAGAAACTCATAGATCCTCTATCAAATGGTGCAGTCTGAAAAAATTACATTTTGACTGACAGAAAATGGGATTTCAGCTCCAGGTGATTCTCTGAGGCTGTTTGCTAAAAACTTGTGCAGTTGGTGCTCAGCTAAAGGGTGATAGCGTCCCTCAGATCTTGTCTCGGCTTTGGTTTCCTGCTTATCAAATACATCATTTTTATTTTTAGGCTCGACACTTCTTTTGTCCTCCAGTCGACAAGTTTTCTCAAACACTTTGCGTTTCATTTCAGCGTCTTTCAGGAACATTTGACAAACGGAATTAGCTGCAAAAGCTGCGGTTTCCACGGCAAGTGTGAACTAAAAACAAGCTGTTGAGATAAAATGAGAGGAGGCCCCACGGAGCTGCAGGGTACAGACGAGTTTCTTCAAAAGATGGAAAACAAACGGCACATGATAAAATGTTTGATTAAAAGAACGCGATTTGTTTGGTTAAAGAACGAAAACTGCAACAGACACCGTCTGTAAAATTAAAATTAAAATTAAAAAACTAATTCATACAATTAAAGCGAGCGTGCTCATTTCTTAAAGAGACAAATCTGAAGCTCTTTGAAGAATTATTTTTTATTTTTTTTAATTTACCCTTAGGTAGTCTCACTGAGTCACGAGAACTCATTTTCAAGAGAGACCTGTTTTTGGGAGCAGATGGGGGTGGTGGGGGTGGAGGGTTAAGGACCTTGCTCAAGGGTCCAGAGTGGGGCAAATGAGGATGAAGGCAGGTGTGGGTGCTTCACCTTTTCCACACACATTTTGATGTTGTCAGTCTGGGGAGTTGAACCTGCGACTTTTTGATCACAGGCCCATCTTCTCTAACCTCTGCGCCACCACTTCCATTTCTTATTGTGTCAATGCAGCAGCCACACTTACCCGTATGTTTTACTCTTTTTAAGTAAATGTTTAATGTTCAACCTTTTAATATTTCTATATTTTAGAGTACTTTTTTAACCTTTTATCTTTTGCTACATTAGCTTATAGCCAGCCTTTTTAATACTTGTAATTTCTAGCTGGTCATTGCTAACTTTGTGCAACTTTTAGCTTTTAGCTTACCTTGAGGCTTGAACTGGGCTACTTTTAATTAACTCTATGGGAATTTTTGGTTTTCCCTTTTGTTTTTATTAGATTTGAACTACCGGTATTCAGCTCTTTAATTTAAACAACTCAGCTTCAGTTTCTGAAAATTGCAGCACTCAGCCTTCGTACGGCACGTTTGCAGAAAATGCCCATTTTTCTTATTTTGTTGCTCATTTTTCATGTTTTTAGATTCTGAACATGGCAGTAAGTTCCTGAAATCTGACTCATTTATTTTTCCAACCGTTCGACAATGAGTGATGACTCGCTGTAAACTGCTGCTGTCCGACAGATGTTCATGCATTTATGACACCGTTAGAATCGCGTACGAGCGAGAAGCTGCTGTCACAACCTGGTTACACATTTTTAACCTCGGAGGGAGTAAAAACTGAATCAACACGGGGTGACTCAGGGTTCGTTTAATCTTCTGGGTAAAGTCCAAAACCTGTGAAACCCCTGAATGTCATCGACACACGTGCTTTGAACAGGACAGTATGAGGAACAAACATAATCTGCTTTTATAACCTTTGATTTGTCTTTACTGGTTTGACGTTTTCTGATTAACTGATTTCACTGCAATGAGAGAAGTTAGCTCATTTAACTGGCAACATGCGGAGGGCAACAAAAACAGCAGCAAAAGAAACTTTTAAAGATGCTCAACATTATTTTGTCCTTAGAAAATACAGTTAAAAGCAATAAACTTTATTATTATATCTACAAATAATAAAGAGTTTCTGTTTCTGGACACAAACCAAAGCAAGAATTCACTGATTCTCTTTCGTCATATTGTACAAATTCAGGCAAACGTAAAAATGGCGTCTCTTTTGGTCCTAATGAGCTCCATCCTGTCCCCCCACAGGTTTTAAATGGTTTGGGAGCCTTACCAATCTGTCCCAACGTCACCCCCCAGAGAAGGCCAGTAACAAAGCAGTCCCACATCTGAATGAGAGCCTCTGTGGAGCTGGAGCAGCAGAGGGGGGGCAGTCTGTAGACGACAGGGACTCGAGCCCCTGCAGCTACGCCCTCTTCGCCCACGTGGCCTCGGTGCCCCTCACACAGAAGATCTTCAGAGTGAAGGAGAAGACAGCCCAGGAGGAGAAGCAGGAAGGGCCGAGCCAGTGGAAGGCGGGGGAACATGTTCGAGACTCCCCCCTGCTCGGTGTCCTCTCCGCTCTCAGTTTGACAGCTATGGAGCAACCTCAGCGCGTTTTGGCTCAGCCGCTGCCCCCCGCACCCAACCGGCCCTCACCTTTGACCTCTGCTCCTGACAGCTGCCTCAGGGAGCTGCCCGTCCTCAGCCACGAGACTCGGAGCTGCAAAGCTGCTGCAGGACCTGAACGAGATCCTTCAGACATGACGAGCTGCAGAGCAGCTTCCAAACAGGACGTCTATGTGCCAATGGACCCCATATCTGACAGGACCCGGACCCGGACCCAGACCCAGCCCCACCCCCAGACAGCGAGGCAGCCACCTGAACAGGAAACCAACAAAACTGCAACCACCTCACAGGAAGTGTGGAGTGGTGACAGGTGAGGATGATCAGCGAAGCTTTCAGAGGATGAAGAATTGTTGTTTTGTTCATAGTCAAGGAGCTGCTGCTCTGGTTCTGACAAACGTTAAATTATGAAAGAAATTCCAACATATTTCCAGAAAAGGTTGCTATAAAAATATACAGCTTGTTCTTTTTCAGTTCTGTGCAAAAGTCTTAATCCAGCTCTTATTTATTTGTTTGTTTCCAAGAGGCCAGATGTTCCTGTTATCCTTTTAAAGATTTTCTTTTGGTAATAATTTATTTTTAACCCAATAACTCAAATATTAAACAAACATTGTGTTTATATAGTAAAACATTTAGTAATTACTTATTCACTTAGTCATTTTTGACCCTTTAGCAGCATGAGACATTTTAAAAGCCTGAAATTAGCACCTGTTTAAAATATAACTAAATGAGAGCTGGATCAAAACATCTGTACAGAACTCTGTTTCTGAGAAGTCAAAAAGAAAAAAGGAAACAAAAAAATAAAATAACAATAATAAAATAAAGAGCTGAATAAATAAAATCTGGAGAAATTGGATTTTCTGCAAAAAGGCAGCGTGAACGCTGGGAGCTGAATGACTTGGCTAAAATTTGCTAAAGAAACAAAAACATGTATTATCAAAAGAACAGCTAAAAAATAAACAAGCTGAAAAGTAGCTAAAATATTTGCTAAAAGTAGCTGAATTATAGCTAAAAGATAAAAGTAGCTTATAGTATCCAAAGGACAACTAAAAGTATCAGAACTGAAAGCTAAAAGTAGCTGAACAGTAGCGAACAGTATCTAAAAAGTTAAAGTTGAAGAACAGTAGCTAATAACTGCAGAACAGTAGCTAAAAGTATCAAAAGAACAGCTAAAAGATAACTGTATCTAAAAGTTGTAAAACAGTCATTAAACTGTAGTTAAAATATGTCAGGAGCTGAAAAGTAACTAAAATGATCAAAGGATTTGCAAAAAAGTAGCTGAATTGCAGCTAAAAGATAATATCCAAAGGACAACTGAAATCAGAACGGTAAAAGTAGCTGCAGTAGCAAACATCTAAAAAGTTAAAGTTGAAGAACAGTAGCTAATAACTGCAAAACCTATAAACATCAAAACTGTAGCTAAAAGATGACAGGAGCAGAGCTAAAAGTATAAAAAAATAGCTAAATGTAGCTAACAGCTAAAAGAAGCAAACAGTCATGTTTTATGAAACTACTGTGGCTGAGCACAGACAAATTTAACAGGAAGTTGTTTAATAAACATCAAACGAGTCTGTCAATCATTTATTTTTCGATAAAACAAGACGTTAGTGGCAGTGGTGCGCATGCGCAGTGGCTCCCCGCCTGCTCCCAGCTGTTCGCACCGCAGCGCTGCGTGAGTCGGACCCTGCGGGAGAAGATGAGTCAGGTCCGGGACATTAGGGGTGATTCAGTCCGCTGCGGGGACAGATGGACCCGGGACAGGTGAGAAACCGCGTCTCTGTGCTCAAAATCCGTCTTTGTTGATCAAAACAAACAAACTGGAGAATCACAAGGTGCATTTCAGACCAGAACCATCAGGTCAGAACGTTTAGAACTTTTTATTTTTAGTTTATCTCATTTTGTTCCTGCTCGTGTTGGACAGTTCGGTGCCATAAAACATGAAACAGAACCAACTCTGGCTCGGACTGCTGCTCTCAGGCAGAACTCTCTCTTTACGAACTTCCGGTTTCACATCCGAGCAGGTGATTTACCTGCAGGTGTTTCTAATGGAGCATTTTGCTCTGAACAAACATGATCGCCCGCCAGCTTCCAGCATTTGAAACAACAAAAATAATACATGGATTGGAGACGACTCTCAGCTACTACCACAGCAAAGTTTAGTCCAGTATCTGCAAAAATGAACAAGTTCAGTGTTTGCTAAGGTTGACCATTGAGATATTATGCTAACAGATACATGCACGCAACTCAGTCAGGAAATTACATGATCGCCTGCCTTTCACAGTGATGGGTAATAAAGCATCCATCCATCCATCCATCCATCCACGCATCCATCCCTCTCACCTAGGGACAATATAGAGTTACCAATCAGCCTAACATGCATGTTTTTGGTCTGTGGGAGGAAACTGGAGTACCGGGAGAAAACACGCATGCATGGAGAGAACATGCAAACTCCACCCAGAAACCTAAAATCATAATTTAGTTGCAGTTTTTTTGCATTGATTTGTTCTTACTTTGAGAAGTTCCTGAACAGAGGAACTCAGTTATTTCTGCACCTAAAAGCACCGCCCTGACAGAAACCTTACAGCAGAGCGTGGAGACGGCATTTCTGAACAAATCGGATTTTTGTCCCGGCACAAACGAAATGTAACGACACAGTTCAGACTTGAATGTGCATTTTAGACCCTCTGCTCTTTGCCTGATGATTTAAAACAGTCATGATGTTTACTCCTAACGACGAGTGATGAATTTATTACGTGATAAAAGTGATTCTGCGTGACCTGAGGACAGTCTGTGGTTTCAGGACAAGCGTCTCCTTCTTGTGGTGGCAGTTCCCTCCTCTTCATCAGGGATGCTGACTGTGTGATAGTCTGAGCTCCACCGGGCCCAGCCTTGGTTGACCTTTCACCTTTACCTCTTGCAGGCGTTACCTGATATTAGGTTTGGTGACGGCTTATTGAAATATTTTACAAAAGCACAGAACACAGTGAACGTGAGAGCTTTATTTATTTTATGCATTTCTTTTTTTTAAATTTTTTTTAGAAAACTTATTTTTATATTGATATTATCAGTTTCAGTTTCCTCTTTTTTAGCTAAAACTGTTTAACACCAGAGACTAAATGTCATTATTGCTTTTACAGACAGAATGTAAAGATTTGGATAATTACCATTTACATCAGAAATATGTCCACTGATCTGAACAACCAAACAGGTTAAGTGTCCAAACCTGCTCGGTTGGTTTTAAAGCAACTTTAACGCCGATTTAGAATTAGTGGGAAGATTAGGATTCTGCTTGTTTAAAGTCTAAATTATAAAAAAGAAATATAACTACAGAAAATGCATTTTCTGCAACAATGCTATATAACCAGCTATGAAAAAATGTGTTGAAGTTATTAAAGCTAAAATAGCGGCTCAGCTGTTTCCTCTCAGCAAGAAGGTTGCCGGATCGAATGCATGTTCTCTCCGTGCTGCGTGGGTTTTCTCCGGGTTCTCCGGTTTCCTCCCACAGACCAAAAACATGCATGTTAGGCTGATCGGTGACTCTAGGCGTGAGTGAGAGAGTGAATGGTTGTTTGTCTCTATGTGTCCCTGTGATGGACTGGAGACTTGTCCAGGGTGTCCCCGCTTCTTGCACAGTGATTGCTGGACATGGGCACCAGTGACACCCGTGACCCATAAAGGAAGAAGCGGCTGAAGATAATGGATGGATGGATGCTAAAGCTAAAGTAAGCAGAACACTAGCTAAAATCAGCAAACTGGCATTCACCATAAAAGGTAAGCATATCCAAAGACTAGCTGGAAGCCAAAAGGAGCCAAAGGCTAGCTAAAGTCTAATGACAGCAAAAGTCTGGCTATGAACTAAAAACAGGATCACACCAGCTCAAAGCTAAAAGTAGCTAAACACTAGCCAAAAGGAGCAACATGATAGAATCTAAAAGTAGCAAAAGGTTAGTTTAAAAGACAAAATGCAGCAAAACATTAGTTTAAAACTAAAAGTAGGAACAAGCTTGATTAAAAACAACAAAAGGTTAGCTAAAAGCTAAAGCACAAAAATGCTAACTATAAGTAGCAAAAAGGCTAAACAAAGGCTAAGGGTAGTAAAATGCTAACTAAAAGTGGCATAAAATTAAAGCATGCTGAAGCAGAGTTCAAGAGAATAAATCAGCCAACAGGAAGTGAGTTGTGCTGGGAATCATTTCAGCGTTCATTTGAACAAATAAGATGCCATCTTTAAATGTAGCTCTTCCTTCTCTTATTAATAAACAACTCCTGGTCTGTTTGCAGAGATTTATTGCATTTTTTCACCCCATCGCATCCTGTTTGCTTGGCTGTGTGCAAATAATATTGCAACATTGCAATTAAACAAAAATAGAAAAAGTTTTACATCTTCAGGAAATAATTAATATGTGCTGACGTGCTGAATGTTTGTTTGCAGATTTTTTTTAATAAAGAATATTAGTTTTAACCTCAAGCAATCACAAACAAAAACAACTCGGTCAGATAATCAGAAGGTTGGATCTGGGAACAGATTTTGAATGTTGGGAGTTTCTCATGCACTGCTTTGGTTGTGTTCACCAGAGTTTGTGTTTGGGAACAGAAGGTCGCCTCCCTGGACTCTCAGAAATATGCTGAGGAGGAACAGAAGGACAAAAAAAAAGTTTCTCTCTGCCAGTTTCCCGGACACAACACGTTACCGCCGTCAGTTAGAAACGAATGCATTTTTCCAGTTTTCACTCCAGTTGAGAAGAAATCCTGCGGGTGTTGGGCTGAGTTTTGTGACGCCCAGAAACGTCAGACTTGGTGCGGAGCCAGCCGATCACTGGATCGGTAGGAGGAAGTAAAATAAGCACGGGCTCCAGAAAACAAACCGCTTTCAGATTTTCACTCTGAGGAAGAAAACTTTCCACGTCCTCCCCGGAGAAGGTTGTTGTGTTGCAAGTTGTTGCTGGGTGGTGTCGAATGAACTCACTGCTGCTGTGAAACAGTTGTGCAAGAGGACGGAGGAGACGGAGAAAACATGCAGGATACTACGGTTATCTTGCTGCTGAAAGGTTTCTGGTTCTGCAGATCCAACATGGGTCGTCTCCTGATCATCCCCACAGTCATGATGGAGCATCTTAAACCCCAACATTTATAAAAAACAGGTGCAAGTAAAACCATACTGGTTTATGGTTATTAATTAAAATTAATAAATCAAGGCAAAGTGTTTCTCGACAGAACCCATATCGCCCAACATGCACACGTTTTCATGTTACGGTGAGACGTCGCTGTTTAGGTCAAACCCTGTAATGAATGTTATCCACAGTCTCAGGCAGCGTTATAAAATGATGTGAGATGTGAAAGCACTTGTAGTAGGATGACTCTCAGCTACTACCACACCTAATTTTAGCTCAATTCAATTCAGCTTATTTATATATCACCTAAATATCGCCTGTCGCGATAAACAATAAATCAATTAATCGCATGATAAATTAAATTTATCGGCTTTATCGTTTCTTTGTGTCTCTCTCTTTCTACTGAAGACACTGGACGACAAAAGGCTCAACTCCGGTGCTCTTCACGGACCCCTGCCTTTTCTCTTTTTAAAATCCATTTTAACCGTCCAAAATCACATTTTTGGATCGTTAAAAGCAGCTAAGCTCAGAAGCTAAGCTATAAGTTAAGCTAACAGGCCGACCTCGGGGAAAAAAACCTCCGTCTTGTCGAAGCTCCAAAATTCATGGTCGAAACTGGTGCTTTTGTGTAAAAAGTTGTTTTTCTCTGCAAAAAGAAGCTGAGAACTTGTTTACTGATTTTTTTTATTTGTGTAAAGAATGCTATGCTAAAGAGCTCAAACCACACCGAGTGTCCGCCGTTTTGGGAACCGAAGAGAGACAGCCCATGTCATGTCAAGAGGCCTCCCTCCCATTTTTCTTAAAGAGACACGCTGCTCGCTCCCTCACTATCCATCCTTCGGTTCAAACAGTCTTATACTGCTATGCGGTGGTCAAAAATGGTACTACACTCGAAACAAATTAACAAACTTCTAAAATTTGACAATAATTAATAGTTATTGTCAAAATTCAAACAATATTATCGTTTATCCCAATAATTTCTGAGACAATTAATTGCCCAGCTAAATTTGTTATCGTGACAGGCACCAAATCACAACAGAAGTCATCTCAGGGCGCTGTACAAAAACATTCACATATAAAGCCAGTTAATAATGTTATTTATCTGAGGAGCCAACAGATTGCGTTGAGTTTTCACTTCGTCGCAGTCTCTCATCCTATGTGAGCACAGAGGCAAGAGTGGAAAAGAACAACTCCTTCATGAGGAAGAAACCTCCAGCAGAACCAGGCTCAGGACAAGCGCCATCTGCTTCGACCGTCTGGGTTTGAGAGGACAGGAAGGAGAAAACGGACACACGGTGGCAGGTCCAGGGCGGAGGCCATCAGGTTTTTCTCTAGGAGGAAAGAAAGACATAAATCATATTAAGAAAGAGTAATTACAAATACAAACGATTCATTTGAACTTATTTGTAACTGTTCATTTGATGAAATGAGGTCAATTTGTTCTCCAGTAGTCTTAAGATTATAGCAGCATAGGATAAGGAATAGGTCAGGAAACCAAGCTGACTAACTATAGGATTTATCAAAAAGGAAAGACTTAAGCCCAGTTCTTAAAACTGGACAACGTGTCAGCTTCACGGACAGAAACTGGAAGTTGGTTTCACAAGAAATGAGCCTGATAACTGGAAGATCTTCCTCCCATTCTGCTTTTGGAAACTCTAGGAACTGTGAGTAAGCCTGCAGTCTGAGAGTGAAGTGCTCTGTTAGGAAAACATGGAACAATAAGATCTGTAATATGAGATGGAGCTAGGTTGTTGAGAGCTTTGTAGGTTTGAAGTAAGATCTTGAATTCTATTCTGGACTTGACAGAGAGCCAGTGAAAATGATCTTTCCCACTAACTCCAGTTAAGACTTTGGCAGCAGTAATATCCATAAAGTTGGCTGAGTTAAAACCATTTTTGTCTTAGCTCACTGTTGATTTTTGAGAAAAATTAAAAGATTTTAAATGTGCCTTATAGTCCAAAAAATATGGTACACCAGTTTATAACTGAAGCGTATCTTGTGTTCAGTCAAACACTGAACAGTTTATTTTAATTCCCTCAAAATAAATCAAATTAAAACCAAATAAGTGCATCAATAAATAGGTTGAATATTTGATTTTTGTTTGCTCATGTTCTTTTTGTGTTCCAGGTGTTCAAAAGTGACAGACAGCGGTGGAGAATATGTGAAAGTAAGTTTCTTTTTTTTTTTTTTATATATAGAAATTACTTTAAAATTCTTTTTTATTTTGCTCTCTCATCTTGTAAGAGTTAATTTTTTACCACTGTTGCTCTTTTCTTCACTTCCTCTTGTCAAACTTCCTGTTTTCATCTGTGTCCTTTCTCACTAAAAGCTAAAAAAAAATAAGGGTGTGTTTCTGCCGCTGTGATGAACGATGCCGTGGCTCCAATTTAGTCGAATTTTGGCTGAAAAATTAAGGGAATTGTTCACATGCTTTAAAGATGCTTCGGTTGCCGCAGGCAACAGCAGCTCAGACTGCAGAAAGTGTAAAGAAATAAAGAGAATGCAGCTTCACTGGCTCAGAATTAGACTGTTGACAACCACGCTTGTCTAAAAGGGATGAACGGCGAATAAAATAATGCTAATGATTTAGCATTTCCTGTCACACACTCCTGTTTTGTTTTGAAGTGGTCCTGGCCCGACGCCCGGCCTTTTGATTCACAGTCCGGTGGAACCGTTCTGTCGGGGTTGAGGGGGTGGGAGGTGTCGGGGGAGGCATTCCCAGCACATCCTCAACCCATCCTCTTGATATACAGTAGCTTCTTTTTGTTGTTGTGTTTGTATAAAGACACTGTGGACAAAAGGGTGCTGAGTGATGACCCCATCTCATGGTGACGTTGCCGGGGCGACGAGGCCAAGACTCTGACATTCTGAGTTTTATTTCAGGCTCCTGGTGCCTCCAGCATGGATGCCAGTGTGGGAATGCCAAAAATGCCCATCCTTCCTCTCTCTCTCTTTTTTTTTAATTCTCTGTCCAATAAAAACAAAAGTGAAGAAGACACAGGCGCGGTTTGATTTTAAATAAAGCTCGGACTGCTCAGCGTCAGTCTTTTCTTGTACCGCTGTTGTAGTCGTGCGTCTGATCCTTCACCTGTGATGCCTTTTAAGTTCTGCAAAGAGAAGTTCTGGTTGGAGCCGCCATCGGAGAAACTGAGAAAGGAGCTGGAGGAGGAGCTGAAGCTGAGCGGCACGGAGATGAAGAGCCACGCCTGGTACCACGGACGCATCCCCTGGGAGGTTTGTTTCACTTTCATGAGAAAAAAAAACTAAACATGTTTTTATCTTAAGACTTTAGCAAAAACTGAAAACGGAGTGAGTAATTGTCTGTTAAGAAAATATTCTACACTTGTTTTCTCTTGTTTTTTCTATAATTACAAAAGAAAAAAAAACTAATAGATCTTTCAAAGCCATAGTAAAAAGTTCTGGTCTTTATCAAGTTGAGACATAAAATGAGATAAATATAACCTCAAATAAACAGTAAGACATGACAGATACACTCCTTTCTGGGTTGTGGAGGATAGTGAGAGGATGGATGGATGGACAGATGAATGGAAGGATTGATGATGGATGGAT